TATTTTTCTCCTTGGCCCTTTTAACCAACATACTATAGATTTTATTTATTTATCTTGTTTATCGTTTGTCTTCTTCATGGAATGTAAGCTCCATGAGAGCAGGAATTATTATTTTGTTCATTGTTGTATACACTGAAGTAACAACTGTGCTTGACCCTTGTAAAATACATGTTAAATAACTTTTAAAAATTTAAATAGGTTAAAAAGAAACCAAGTCAAATATAAAATACATGTTAAATAACTTTTAAAAATTTAAATAGGTTAAAAAGAAACCAAGTCAAATATAAAACAGTGATTTCTCAGGCATCTAGAAGGTTAGGCTTGTAATAATCTTAGAAATATTTAGTCAACTAATACTGAGAGCCTACTATGCGCCTAACATTAATGACAGGAAACAAAGCAATAAGTAAGACTAGGTAACTGCCTCTGAACAATTCTGTCTAATGGCAAATACAAACGTTTAGGTAAGCAATTATAATTTAAAGCATAGATGCCACCCTAAGTATGAGTTCAGAGTGCTACAGGAACCCTGAAAGGTATGCTTAATCCAGTTCCTAGAAGTAATGTCCACACTGAGTTCTGAAAGATGAGAAGTTAGCTAGATGAAAGAGGTAGAGTTAGGGGATTTGTCAAGTGGATGGAGGGCAGAAGATATAAAGGCCAAGGAGAATATAGCTTAAGTCCAGTAGAGGTGGAAATGAGGGGAAGAAGGAACCGAGCTTGGCAGGAGATGGGGCTAAAGCACTACTAAACAGAGACAAAATCCTGAAAGGCCTGGAAAGCATGTTAAAGAGTTTAGACTTCATCCTAAAGACAGTTAAGAATAATTAAAGTGTTTTACGTGAGGTATGACAGAATCAGACATATTTTAGGTAGGTCACCATGGTTTTTGTATAGAAAATGGGTTAGAAAAAGGAAAAAACAAACAGACTTGGCAATTGCTTATATAAGGAGGTAAGAAAAAGGGAGGAGTGGATGACTTGAAAGTTCTGGTTTGAATATGTGGGTAGATGGAGGTACCATTTTCTAGACAAGGAATGTAAGAGGAGCAGGTCTGCAGCAAAGATGACAAGTATGATTTTGCATGTTGAGTTTGAGTTGTCAAGTAGATGTACTCAGAAGGTACTTTGATAAGAGAGATCTGGTGCTCTAAGAAGACATCTGGACTTGTTCTTCCAGTTCTTTTTGATTTAAAATAAAGCAGAATAGTACCATCCAAAAGAACTTTCTGTGATGATGGAAAAAAACATCTTACATCTGCACTATTTAATATGATAGTCATGAGTGATATATGGCTATCGAAGATTTAAAATGTGGCTAGTGTGACTGAGAACTGAATTTTAATTTTACTAATTTGAAATTTATATTTTAATAGCTACATATTGCTAGTGGTTACCATACTGTGCAACACAGATATAGATGGCACTAGAGGAGAGTATGCAATTAGCCAGGGAGCTCATGAAGAAGGTCCAGGATAGGACTTGAGAATAAATATACAGTATTAATTTCTCATAATGCTACTTATTTGAGGAACTGTTTAATTGTAAGTGAAATATTTGGAGTTTTCAGATGAGTACTTAAATGAGGCACATATATTCTATGCTATCATTAATAGTGCTTAATAGCTAAAAGTAAATAGTTAAAAGTACTATCTTTCTAAGATACCCATGATTGCACTACAAGTTATATGAAAAAAAATCTTTAAAGTATAGTCAAGTTGGCTGAGAAGCACTATAAAGTAAGTTGCTTCATCTTTTAAGAGTTCTGCAGACTTTGCTGTCAGAATTCATTCTCAGTGACATGGTGGAACAGATCCTTATCAAGTACAATTTCGGATAAAACAAGTCTTCAGACTGAAGCACAAGCATCAATGCCCAAGGGCTTCTGAGTGTTCATGGCAGATGTGAGGGAAATGTAGTAATGTTTTGTTAAAGAAAGAAGAAACACACCATACACAAAAATAAACTCAAACTGGATTAAAGACCTAAATGTAAGGCCAGCCACTATAAAACTCTTAGAGGAAAACATAGGCAGAACACTCTCTAACATAAATTTCAGCAAGATCTTTTTTGATCCACCTCCCAGTGAAAATAAAAACAAAAATAAACAAATGGGATCTAATTAAACTTAAAATCTTTTTTTGGGCCACGCCACATGGCTTGTGGGATTTTAGTTCCCCAACCAGGGATCAAACCCAGGACATCAGAAGTGAGAACATGGAGTCCTAACCACTGGACTACCAGGGAATTCCTTAAACTTGAAATCTTTTGTACAGCAAAGGAAACCATAAACAAAACAAAGAGACAAGCCTCAGAATGGGAGAAAATATTTGCAAATGAAGGAACCAACAAGGGATTAATCTCCAAAATATACAAAGAGCTCATGCAGCTCAATATCAAAACAACAAATAACCCAATCAAAAAATGGGCAGATCTGCATAGGCATTTCTCCGAAGAAGACATACAGATGGCCAAAAAGCACATGAAAAGCTGCTCAACATCACTAATTATTAGAGAAATGCAAATCAAAACTACAATGAGGTATAACCTCACACCGGTCAGAATAGCAATCATCAAAAAGTACACAAACAGTAAGTGCTGGAGGGGGTGTGGAGAAAAGGGAACCCTCCTACACTGTTGATGGGGATGTGAATTGGTACAGCCACTATGGAGAACAGTATGGGAGGTCCCTTAAAAAACTGAAAATAGAACTACCATATGACCCAGCAATCTCACTCCTGGGCAAATACCTGGAGAAAACCATAATTCAAAATGATACATGCACCCCAATGTTCACTGCAGCACTGTTTACAATAGCCAGGACATGGAAGCAACCTAAACGTCCATCAACAGAGGAATGTATAAAGAAGATGTAGTACATATATACAGTGGAATATTACTCAGCCATAAAAAAGAACAAATAATGCCATCTGCAGCAACATGGATGGACCTAGAGATTGCCATACTGGGTGAAGTAAGTCAGACAAAGACAAATATCACATGTTATTGCTTATATGTGGAATCTAAAAAGAAGGGTACAAATGAATTTATTTAAAAAATAGAAGTAGAGTCATGGATATGGAAAACAAACTTATGGTTACCAGGGGATGGGGGGGAGGGGTAAATCAAGAGATTGGGATTGACATGTATATACTACTATATATAAAATTGATAACTAATAAGGACCTGCTGTATAGCAGAGGAAACTCTACTCAATACTCTGTAATGGCCTATATGGGAAAAGAATCCAAAAAGAGAGTGGATATGTATAACTGATTCACTTTGCTGTACATCTGAAACTAACACAACATTGTATATCAACCATACTCCAATTAAAAATTAAAAAAAAAAAAGAAACATAAGGGGAGAAGTTAAAGGAAAGAAAGAAATACATGTAGTAGAGATGAAAGTGTGCCCCTCATAAATGACTTATAAAAAAGTAACTAATGAAAGTAATGCTAGGGCTTCCCTGGTGGTGCAGTGGTTAAGAATCCACCTGCCAATGCAGGGGACATGGGTTTGAGCCCTGGTCCGGGAAGATCCCACATGCCACAGAGCAACTAAGCCCGTGTGCCACAACTACTGAGTCTGCACTCTAGAGCCTGCTTGCCGCCAACTAGAGAAAAGCCTGCACGCAGCAATGAAGACCCAACACAGCCTAAAATAAAATAAATTAATTTAAAACAATAAAAATAAAAGTAACGCTAATGTCACAAATACTAAAGATCCAAAAGTATCAGGAGTTTGATAGCTAATCACTTGCACAAACAAGCATTTTTTAATCAGCTTAAATTATAACATCTATTGCTTTTTACTGCATATTGCAGTTCTTGTGTTCAAAAACGTCCAAAAAAATTTGTGACTGTTAACAGAAATTAATGATCTTACACTTTGCCAATGAATAATTTAATTTTATCAAGATTACAAAACAGTACCTGTAAGTCGAGGAATAATTGTTTTGCTGATGACAGCAGGCAAGATTTTCTTATCAGAACTATCTTCCTTCTTTGAATCTTCCATACTGCTATCTATAAATTCTTCTATAGATATGAACCATGGCATCTGTTTTAAACCTATGGAATCAAACTTATAAATAAAATTATCTAAGTTATAAATAAATTCTTAAATATTAGTTTATTTTTAAATAATTAACTTTTTCAGTAATTACCAGAGCTTCTCTAAGGATCAAAGGAGAATTATTCCATATTTTAACCCAATGTATACAGTACTAGACCACCAAGGCTAGGCAGGATGACATGACTAAGACATGATGTCTAGGCAGTAGGACAGAACACTGCGTTTCATGCATTCATTCATATCCAGAAATGTCCACTATGTGTTCAGAGCCTACTACATGACAGGTACTGTTAGGAGCAAAGTATACATTTATAACAACAGCAGTTAAAATAGCCACGGAATTTATTTATAAAAATACACTTACCTCACGCAAAATTCACTTCTGGCTCTCTCGAGTCTCACTGGCACAAATATATACTTTGCATGTGGTTTAGCTTATTATTAAACAAACAGCAGATGGCCAATTATTATTTGTTGAATAACTGAATGAACAGATCTTTGCTAGATGTAACAGAGTACTCAGTTCAGCTGGAGTGGTTAACAACTAGGCTGCTTTCCGACCAACTATCTACCACTTTCTTAGGGATAAGCTTGGCTCCTAAACTATGAACACATGGCCCTAACACAGAGCCTAAAGGCATGCATGACTAGAGCAGAGGAAGATAAAATGACAAGGATCCATCCTTTACTTTGTTAAATCTTTATTTTCAGCTCTCCTTTCTTCCTAGAGTTTCATTTTCTCATTTCTGTTTGCTTAACAGGCATATCCACATGGATGTCCCATCATCATTTCATTGTCTATAAAGTAAAACTTCCGTCAAAACTGTTTTCCTCTCTGAAAAGTCACCATTTTTATGAATGGAACTACCATTGTACTAATAACTCAGACTCCAAATCTTGAGGTCATCTTTCTGATATGTTGTGTTAGGTTTATTCTCAGTATTTTACTGATTCTTACTTCATAACGCCACTTGTAATCAATACTTTCTTTCTCTTCCCTTTGTCACTATCACCCCACGTGAGGAACTCTTCACCCTGCACTTGGGCTACAGCAATAGTCTTTCAGTATATACCTTCAACTCTTTCTCCCTAGCCTCCAAGTTAGCCTGTTGCTCAGGGCCTCCTAAAACATTACCTTCATCATGTCATGCCTCCCATTATCTACCAAAACAAGTTCATATCTCTTAATTTAGGATCTACGCAGTCTCTACTAAACTAATATTTCTTCCTATGTACCTTCATAAAATACCTTTTCCTTCCTCTGTCTTCCTGTTTAAATTCTATATATCCTTCAAATCCTCATTTAAATTCCTCATCTTCATTGTAGCTTTCCTAGCCAAGTATTCCCATTATGTCATCTCCAACTTCAGAACTCTTGGTACCTATTTTGAATTTCACTCAAACAGACTGTAAAATTCTTAAGGTCTAATACTACCTTTACTTTTTTGAGTAATCTTAAACTTATCATAGAAGAAGATTTAAAAGAAAAAGTGTTTCCTTTACTGATGTTAAGTGTCACTCAGCCTTTAAAACAGAGTGAGAACCAAGAAAAGATGAGTGCAGACTATTACTCCAAAGCACAAATTATCAATTCCAACTCTACAGGAATGGTACTTTATAGTTAACCTGATAACTAGAGGATTTAAGTAACTAAATGTGATCAGGATTATTTTTTTCACATGTTAAGCTTATGTACCTTAAGAGGATTCCAATCAATCAACCGAAATCGTATTAGGGGATTTAAAAGCTTCGGAATGCATAAACTAATGAAAGCTTCATAATAAGAATCAGGAAACTTTTCTCGCCATTGTTGAAATTTCAATAAAATATTCTGGATATTACAAAAATCATCGTGTACATCTTCAAAAATCTTCTTATGATCCTGTAAAATGTCACCTGTGAAGAAAATGAGTGTATATTATGCATTTTAAGTTTGTGATTTGAAGTTTGCTTCCTATAAACATAGTTATGTGTAACTTATGTAATCAACTGAGCTGAAAACTATCCTTTGATGTTAACATATAAATTAGGTTTTATTAAAAAAACACTTTAGTAACAACTGACAGTAATAAAGTCTGCCATTTATTGAGCCCCTGCTATATGCCAAAACATTATAAATACATTACCTCATTTCATCATCATAACTATGTTCCCTATAAGGTAGGTGTTTCTAGCCTACCTATTTACAAAGAACAAGCAAACAAACAACAATATCAGATATAATGAAGTCAAGGAATCTGCCAATGATCACACAGACTAGATCCCCTCTTTGAACTCATCTGGTTGACTGTAAAGCCCACACTCAACTATACATATTTTACCTTCTTATAATGCTAAAACTGGGCTTTACTAAATTCAATTATTTTAAATTAAAAATTATAATATAGAAAGTATGCAGTAGAGAAATGAAGCCAAAAGTGTTCATGGTTCCGTTATAACAGGAGATGAAAAAGGTTGACGGAGAAAACTCAGGAATACTCATCATGCTCCTCCATTTTATCCATTTTTTCAGAGGAAAGGACAAGTCTTATATGGAAAAAAAAATGTATTCCTTTTTTCCTGAATTTTACCAACTATTTTACATAGCTTAAATAATTAAGGGCAATCACAGCAAAGCATTTTCCATCATTTCAATACTTCAAGACACATTAGAAACTTGATAACTGACCTTGGCTTTTTTGGAAGTCCATCATGTCTGTTGAAGATAGTTCATCATCACTAGATGTTCCTTCCTGATGAGTACAATTCCCAGCAAGAACCCTTGCTTGTCTTCTTTGTGCCCTATATTTTGCAATAAACCAAAAATAAATAAAAAACAAAAAGCTCCTGTTGAAAAGAAATGCTTTAAAACAAAAAGTCATCATTTACTTAAAATACCCAGAAATAAACCATCACATTTGCATGCAATTTTATGTTAATATTTTTGACATTTTAGCTTCATTAATCTGAATTGGTTCTCCCTCTTTTTTTCCTGTAAGACATTCCCATAGCCTACCCAGATTTGGAAGAGCAGGTAACAATGTAATTAGGACTGGCTTCTAGGTATGAGCCATTCCCAGCCTGACAAATGCCATTTTACCCATTCCTTCTGACTGATCCAAATATACCAGTGCATCTTTAAACCATAAATTTTGGTTTTACATCATTCTCACAAATTAATATGCTAGGTTATGGTTATTTATACTATATGGTTAATTGTATTTAAGTAGTAAAAAATACTTGCTCAATGACGCTTTAAGTCTTTATATAGTTACCTTCGAGATTCAATCTCTTTTAAAATCCATTGAGTTTTTTCATCTATAGCCAAGTTTTTATTTGTTGACGTCTCAGCTTTGCCTATTAATGAATAAAATTGATTTCATACTGCAAATTCTCAAAAGAAATACAGTGAAACACTTTGAAAACAAGTTATATCTTAGGTATATATACATATCTGTATATATAAACACACACACATAGAATATGCTTAAATTGCATATTTCATCATGCAATGAAATTGCAATGTTACCCTATCACAATATTAACAGTCACTGAGTTTGCTAGTCTAAGAAAATGTACCTTGTCTGGTGAATATAGTTCAGCACTTGAGAACAGTAACAAAATTTAATATAAAGTTTCTTTCCCTAGTATTCTTTTTCAGCAGTTTTCACCAGTTTTTTTCCTGTCCCTATAGTCAAAAGCTAGAAACATTTGCATTACCAATATGTCATTCATATTATTTCCTATTTTAGCATGTACCGTAATTTATGACCAACTGAATGTCATGTATTTGAGTCATTCTGATTTTGCTTTTATCATCTACTTGATGCTATGGTCCCATTTCTTTCACTATACCCTCACAGCACCTTAATCAATGGAAGACATCTCTGAAAATACAAAACCAGTGTGAGAACTAAAGGGAAGCATCCAAATCTTTTATTAATATAATGAGATCTTACAGATGATTCTACGCTGAACCCACCAGAATTTCTTTAACCTCCACAAACAATCTGTGGACGGGCTATGGAAAATTTATAAAGTTATATTTCTGACACAGTCTATATATTTATTTCAAGTCATCTCCAAACAGTCATTAAATGGTCCTATAAATACTTTATTTCAAATACTAAGTGATTAGAAGTTATAATTTTCAGTTTTTAGTTTTAGACTGCATTTAAGACATTTTGAAGCCCTAGCTTAAATGGCTTGGGATTTTTGGAAGGGGGTAGGTGAAAGGTTAGTGGGAAAATACTCAAAAAAACATTTTTTATACAGGAATAAAAATATTTTTATCTTTTAGCTGATAATTTAGCTTAATGAATAAAAAATCACATTGAACATGAAAAACACTAACGTGATAACTGTTGTAAATACGCTGATTCATGTTTTAATTCATCTTGCCTGCGTTTCATAAAGATCATGGCTTGTTTTACAAGGAGTGCATGCATGGCTGATTCTATTTCTTGGATGTTGATAATCTGAAATACATACATAAGTAACATTTTGTGGGTCATCCTTAATGAATTATAAAAAATAATATTTATATATAAGTACATTACATGCTCAATTCTCATATACAGAAACATTTTTTATACCATCTCATCTCAATTAAAAGAACACTGTGAGGAACAGACCTAGCTTCCAATACTTTTAATACTAATAAAACTAGAAAATCAACTTACTGTATTAAAATAGCTATAAATATCATAAATAATAAAACCTAATGGGCTGGAGTCAGGAACATGGTAAGAGTGGATAGATAAGAAGAAGGATTCTTTTTTGAGCTAAAAGAGGAGGAGGAAATGATGACTGCAGCTATTTTTCACAGACTGAGGCGGGGGCAGACTGTAGGGAACACTTGAGGAAACTGGTAAAATTAAAAAAAATAGAGAACGGAAGAGACCTAACCAGATAAGTAAGAAAGCTGTCAACCAGAATTGAGTGATTAGTTGAAATTGGCATTTTTATATTTCTTGGGCAACAATCCCCCCCACTCCAATGATATTCCAGAGTTAATGCTATGGATTCAAGCCTTTGACAGTGTAATTCTTCAAGGATGAATGAAGAAAGTTACACTGTAATAGATATTTCAGAAAAGTACCAAATGATATTAAAGGTAGTCAACTTAAAACAACAGGGGAGAAAATACAATTACTTGGTAATATTTTAAAAGTAAATTAAAAGTAATGCAGAAAGTAGAGTATATTTTTAAAATGATTAGTCTACTTTAAAAAAAGGACAACTTAAGACCCCAGTGTAAGGATGTATGTATAAAACAAAATCAGAAATTATAATGGAAAAGAATGATTCATAAATCTGATTAACACAAACATTTCAAAACATCTGATGTCATTGCTAATTACTAGAGAAATGCAAATCAAAACTACGATGAGGTATCACCTCACACTGGTCACAATGGCCAACGTCAAAAAGTCTACATGTAACAAATGCTGGAGAGGCTGTGGAGAAAAGGGAACCCTGCTACACTGTTGGTGGGAATGTAAACTGGTGCAGCCATTATGGAAAACAGTATGGGGGCTCCTTAAAAAACTAAAAATAGAGTTGCCGTATGATCTTGCAATCCCACCCCTGGGCATGTATCTGGAGAAAACTCTAATTCGAAAAGATACATGCATACCAATGTTCACAGCAGCATTATTTACAATAGCCAAGACATGGAAACAACCTAAATGTCCACTGACAGATGAATGGATAAGGAAGATGTGGTGTACACACACATGTGCACGCGCGTATGCACGTGCACACGCGTGCGCACGCACACACACACACATACAGGAATACTACTCAGCCATAAAAAAGAATGAAATAATGCCATTTGCAGCAACATGGATGGACCTAGAGATTATCACACTAAATAAGACAGAAAGAGAAAGACAAATACCAAATGATATCACTTATATGCAGAATCTAAAATATGACAAATGAACTTATTTACAAAACAGAAACAGATAGAGAAAACATATTTCTGTGTCATAGACACAGAAAACAAATTTATGGTTACCAAAGGAGAAAGGGGGTGGGGGAAGGATAAATTAGGAGTTTGGGATTAGTGGATACACACTACTATATATAAAATAAACAACCAGGTCCTACTGTACATCACGGGGAACTATATTCAATACCCTGTAATAAACCATAATGGAAAAGAATATGAAAAAGAACATACATATACATAACCGAATCACTTTGCCGTATACCAGAAACTAACATGTTGTACATCAACTATACTTCAATAAAAAAAAATTAAAAACAAAAAACACATCTAATGTGAAAAATCCATTGCAAACAAAATCAAAAGACAAGGCAAATTGGAATGTTTACCTTCATCAAATAGGATAAAGCACTAAAATTTTTAAGCAATAAAGAACTGTTCACCATATACTGGAAAAAGAAAAAAGGAAAAAAAAACCCACAAAAAACCTCCATATAAAGCAAGAAGATAGCAGTGCAAAGGACACAAATAATTCAAAAGAAGAAAAACTACATTAACAAAACAAAGGGTTTGTTTGAGATCAAAATAAATATGTAAAAACAAAAACCATTTTTTAATGTAGTAAACTAGAAACTGATACAACCTTTCTGGAGGATAATTTAGCAATGTTTCGTAAGCCTTAAAAATATTTAGACCCTTTCACTTAATAATTTACTTTCTAGGAACTTTTCTTAAACAAATGGAATTTAAAAAATTTATACTGCTATTTATAAGTTGCAAAATGATTACAAAATACACCTAACTGTCCAACATTGAGGGAATACTTAATTCTCCAGTATGTCAAAAATGTGTAGGAAGAGTCCTAGATGAAATATTTATTTATGGGATTTAGACTTAAAAAAAAATCACATTGTAAGAGAATTTCTCCATAAAAAGGAAATGATTACATATTTATAGACATGTACCTTTTTATCAAGACAGTCAATTAAATTCTCCACATAAACTTTCATGCTTTTATAGAATTTAAAATTTAGAACTTGATTTGATGAATTCTCTAGGTTCTGGATGGTACTCTTTGAGCTCTTGACATCTTGTATGTATTTTTCATATTCCCTCAGGTGAGAGCGGTGAGTATCCTGTAGTAATGTTAATCTAAATAAATATAAAATAAAAATAAATAAAAATCGCTTTATATTACCAACTGTTATTTCTAATATAGTAAGTAGCGGTCTAATGAAAAATTTTTTCAAATCTACCTTACAAAGACCACCAAGGAAACTGACAATCATATAAACCTGGGTTTATAAGACTTGTAGAGCAAAGGAAAACACCAGGATAAAAGAGGTTTCAAAGGGAAAGGTAGGAAAGGACACTTAAAGATTTTTAGGTGCTGGAGCTAATCATAAGTTAGTCTTAGAGGAGAAGTTAGTAAGTGTGGATTGATCAGATTTTATAAACAAGGTGAGTTCTTGCAATAATCAGTGGTTTTATATTTGAAACACAGGAGTCCATGTGGAGTTACTGTTAAATCAGTCTGTGGTCTTCCTTGCAATATGGGTATCTGAGCTGGTATTAAAACCATTTGAGGGCTTCCCTGGTGGTGCAGTGGTTGAGAATCTGCCTGCTAATGCAGGGGACACGGGTTCGAGCCCTGGTCTGGGAAGATCCCACATGCCGTGGAGCAACTAGGCCCGTGAGCCACGACTACTGAGCCTGCGCTTCTGGAGCCTGTGCTCCGCAACAGGAGAGGCTGCGATAGTGAGAGGCCTGCGCACTGCGATGAAGAGTGGCCCCTGCTTGCCACAACTAGAGAAAGCCCTTGCATAGAAACAAAGACCCAACACAGCTAAAAATAAATAAATAAATAAATAAGCCAAGCATTAAAAAAAAACAAACAACCATTTGAGCATGTTATTTGATTTGGTAATTTATAATATTATAAGTATTATAATTTATAATTATTAAAATATTTAATATTAAAATTAATATTGAAATATCTAATATTAACATCAAATATTTAATATTAAATCTAATATTAAAAATCAAAATTTCAATAACATCTAAAAATTAATAAATAATAAATTAACATTAAATATCAATTTAATATTAAAATATTAAAAATTATAAATTATTTTGGTAATAATTTATCTGTTTCGTGACTCATAATGGTTTCTGTTTTGTCATTAGAATTTGATGTTCTGTGAGGTACATTTCATTCCCTCTGTTGTTGCTGTAAACCCTATACTGCTCTGTTGATGTTCAGGAAGCCCAGTTTCTTTCAGCTCTTGTGAATATCACATGTATCAACTGATGTAACATAAAAAAACTCTCAAATACAATTCAACATCTGCTTATCTTTTAAAATTCACTTATCCCTTACATATACATGCCAATGGAGGAATAAGAAACACAAAAAATCTAGAATGTGTTTTACACTAATATTTGACATTGTGAGCACATTAGAATTAGAGAATTAACTAAATGAAATAACAAATTCATAGTATTTGGACTTGAATCAAACAATTAAAAAAAAATTAAACTTCTGCTAACCTCCTCTAAAATGAAAACTGATTAGCAAGCACTTGCTTAGGCCAAATGTCCTCTTCTCAAGTTTCCCTTGAACAATGACTACTGCATTTGTCTCCGAAAGTCTTTCCTTGCTTTATATAAAAAATAGAGGCAGTTAAGAAATAAATCAAGATAATAATGTACAGCAAGCATTATTAACAAAATGCTTTAAGTGTAGTACTACCGGTTACAGCAGTAAATGTGTAAGTACATATATGGAAAAACAAGGTATGGAACAGGGTATATAAGTGTGCTTCAATTTTGTATTAAAAATGGGGCAATATATAAGTATGTATGTGCTTATACAGACATACATATATATTACTTCTGCAAGGAAACATAAACTGGTAGAAATGGTTTCCTCTGGGGAAGATAACTTCCTTTTCTCTGTATAAGCTTTTGTACTGTTTGACTTTTCTGTCTTTAAACCATAAAATATGTTTTCTTTTAAAATAAAGAACCCCGTTAATAAAAAAAATAAAGTACACTAAAGTTAAAAATAACATTTATCTGGATAAAGTGAAATGCTAATCTATATCAGTGGTCTTCTATTTTTTTCTGTTCTATTACTCATGCAAGACAACTCTCTCAAACACAATCTCAAAAAAAAAGGTTCTGAGTTATATGTGATTCTAGATGCAATCTATCTATAATTCTAGCTCTGTATCAGAAGGAGAGTAAATGATAGTGAAAACATTACAAAAATCATCTTTAATCAAGATAATCTCATCATTTAACATCACTACTGAAAAACAATGACCTAGAACAGAGGCTGGCAAACTTTTTTGGTAAAGGGCCAGATAGTAAACATTTTAGGCTTTGGAAGCTCAATGGTTGCTGTTGTAACTCCTCAATTTTATGTTGTAGCACAAAAGCAGCTATAGATAATACACTGCACAAGCATGGCTATGTTTCAATAAAACCTTAGAGTCTGTGCTCTGCAACAAGAGAAGCCACTACAATGAGAAGCCCGTGCACCACAATGAAGACCCAACACAGACAAAAATAAATAAATAAATTTATATAAAAAAAGAAAATAACAGTTTACGTGACTTATAGGAACAAAACGTTCATAATGAACATCTGTAGCATTATTTATAATAAGACAAATTTAGAAATCAAAATGTCAATGTCCAACACAGAAATACTTAAATAAATCATGATATACTAACTGTATCGATGAACAAAATATTACTAATATACTTATTATTTTTTATTGTAGTCAAAAACATAAAACAAAATTTACACTTAACCATTAAAGTGTATTACAGTAGTATTAATGATATGCACATTGTTGTATAACAGATCTTTAGAACTTTTTCATCTTGCAGAACTGAAATTCTATACCCACTGATCAACAACTCCCCATCTCCCCCCACCCTTGGCAACCACCATTCTACTTTCAGTTCCTAGGAGTATGACTACTTTAGATACCTCATATAAGTAGAATCATGCAGTATTTATCTTTTTGTAACTGGTTTATTTCACTTAGTCCTCAAGGTTCATCCATGTTGTGGCATGACAGGATTTCTTTTTTTTTACCACTGATAATAAATACTCCACTGTGTGTAAATACCACATTTTCTTTACCCATTCATCTGCTGATGGACATTTAAGTTGCTTCTACCTCCAAGCTATTGTAAATAAGGCTGTAATATGTAAATATCTCTTGAACTGTTTTCTTTTGAATTCTTTTGGCTATATATCCAAAAGTTGGATTGCTGGATCATATGGTAATTCTATTTTTAACTTTTTCAGAAATTGTTCTCCATAGCAGCTGACCATTTTACATTCCCACCAACAGTGTATAAGAGTTCCCTTTTCTCTATATCTTTGACAATACTAGTCAATTTCTGTATTTTTCATAGTGGCCACCTTAATGGGTATGAGGTGATAGCTCAGTGTGGTTATGATTTGTTAATTCCCTGATTAGTGATGTTGAGCATCTTTTCAGGTTTGTTCACCACTTGTATGTCTTCTTTGAGAAATGTCTATTCCAGTCCTTTACCCATTTTTCAGTTGGATAGTCTGTTGTTGAGTTACATGAGCTACTTACATATTTTGGGTATTAACCACTTATCATATATATGGTTTACAAATATTTTCTCCTATCCTGTTGGCTGCCTTTTCACTCTGCTGACTATTTCCTTTGTTAGGCAGAAAACATTTTAGTTTGATGTAGTCCCACTTGTCTATTTTTGCTTTTGTTGCCTGTGCTTTTTCTTTCTTGGGTCCTTTGAGATTCCATATGAATTTCAGGATTTCTTCCTATCTCTGCAAAAAATGCCATTGGGATTTTGATAGAGAATGCACTGCATCTATAGATTGCTTTGGGTAATATGGACATTTTAACAGTATTGTTTTCTAATCCATGAACATGGGATGTCTTTCCATTTACTTATGTCTTCAATTTCTTTCAGCAATGTTTTGTAATTTTTGATGTACAAATCTTTTGCCTCCTTGACTAATTCCTAAATTTTATTCTTTTTAATTCTATTGTAAATGAGTGTTTTCTAAATATATAGTTTTGGACTTTTCATTGTTAGTGCATAGAAACAACTGATTTTTGTGTGTTGATATTTCATTCTGCAATTTGCCAGATTTATTAGCTCTAACAGGGTGTGTGTGTGTATGTAAGTGTAGTCTTCAGGCTTTCCTACATAAGAGATCATATCATCTGTGAACAGAGATAATTTTATTTCTTCCTTTCCTATTTGCATGTCTTTTATTTATTTATTTATCAATTTATTTTTCTTGCGTGAATCCTCTGGCTAGGACTCCCAATACTTTGAATAGAAGGGACAAGAATAGGCATCCTTGCCTTGTTCCTGATATTACAGGGAAAAGCTTTTGGTTTTCCACCACTGAATATGATGTTAGCTGTGGGCTACTCATATATGGTCTTTATTATGTTCAAGTAATTTCTTCCTGTTCCTAGTTGGGTGAGGGTTTTTATCATGAAAGTGTGCTTAATTTTGTCAAAGGTGTCTTCTGTATCAAATTGAGATGATCATGTGGTTTTTGCCCTTCATTCTGTTAATGTAGTATACCACACTGATTTTCTTATGACTCATTCTTGTATTCTAGGAATAAATCCCACTTGGTCATGTGTGTAATCCTCTTAATGTATTGTTAATTATATTTGCTAGTATTTTATTGAGGGTTTTTACATCAATATTTGTCAGGGATATTGGCTTATTAACTTTCTTTTCTTATACTATCTTTGTCTCAGATTTTGGGATCAGGGTAATGCTGACCTCATAGAATGAGTTTGGGAATGTTATCACCTCTTCAGTTTTTTGGAAGGGTTTGAGAAGGAATGGTGTTAATTCATCTTTAAATGTTTGGTAGAATTATCCAGTGAGGTTATCTGTCCTGGGCTTTTCTTTGTTGGTAGGTTTTTGACTACTAATTCAATCTCTTTCCTAGTAACAGATTTGTTCAAATTTTTCATCTCTTTATAAATCAGTCTTGGTAGGTTGTATGTTTCTTGAAATTGATCCATTTCTTCTTGGTTATCTAGTTTGTTGGTGTATAATTGTTTACAGTATCTTATGATCCTTTTTGTTTCTGTGGCATTAGCTGTAACATTTCTCTTTCTTATTTTTGTTATTTGAACCTATTCTCTTTTTCACTTAGCCTGGCTAAGGGTTTGTCAATTTTTTTGATCTTAAAAAAAGAAATTCAGTTTTGATTTTTCTTCAGTTGTTTTTCTATGCTCTATTATGTTTATTTCTGCTCTAATCTTTACATTTCCTTCCTTCTGATAACTCTGGGCACAGTTTGTTCTTTTTGAAGTTTTTTGAGGTACAGTTAGATTGTTGATTTGATATCTTTCTTCTTTTTTAATGTGTTCATTGCTATAAACTTCCCTTTTAGTACTGCTTTTGCTGCATCCCATAACTTCTGGTGTTTTTGTTTTTATTTGCTTCAAGATATTTTATAGTTTCCATTTTGATTTCTTCTTTGGTACACCGGCTGTTCAAGAGCGTGTTTAGTTTCCACACATTTGTGAATTTTCCCTTTCCCTTTCTGTTACCGATTTCTAGTCTCACTGCACTGTGCTTGGAAAAGGTATGATTTCAACCTTAAATTTGTTAAGACTTGTTTGTGTCCTAATGTGGGATCTATCCTGCAGAGTATGGTCTGTGTGGTTGAAAAGAAAGTATATTCTGCTGCTGTTGGGTGGAACATTCCATATATTTGTTAGATTCATTTAGTTTTGTTCAAGATCACTGTTTCCTTAAGATTCTCTATTTCAACAATTATTTGAAAGTGTGATATTGAGGTCTCATACTATCATTATATTGCTATTTCTCCCTTCAGCTCTGTCAATATTTGCTTTATACAGTTAGGTGCTCTACTGTTGGGTACCTATATATATAAATAGTTGCTATATTGTCCCAATAAATTGACCCTTTTATATTACATAATATCCTTGTCTCTTGTAGTTTTAAACTTAAAATTCTTTTCTCTAAGTAATGCCACTCCTGCTCTCTTTTGTTTACTGTTTTCATGGAATCTTTTTGCAATCCTATCACTTTCATCCTATATACATCCTTAAATCTAAGTAAGCCTCTTGCAGATAGTATATAGTTGGCTCTTGCTTTTTAAAATTTTTTGGCTGTGCAGCTTGTGGGACCTTAGTTCCCTGACCAGGGATCAAACCCAGGTGCTAAGCAGTGAAAGCACAGAATCCTAACCACTGGACCACCAGGGAATTCCCAGATCTTGCTTCTTTTATTTTTCCCAACCTATTCAGCCACTATATGTCTTTTGATTATAGAATATAATCCATTCACATTTGAAGTAATTACTGATATGGAAGGACTTACGACTGTTATTTTTAAATTGTTTTTTGTCTGCCTTGTAGTTATTTTGTCCCTCTGCCTTTTTTTTTTAACATCTTTATTGGAGTATAATTGCTTTACAATGGTGTGTTAGTTTCTGCTTTATAACAAAGTGAATCAGTTATACATATACATATGTTCCCATATCTCTTCCTTCTTGCGTCTCCCTCCCCTCCGCTCTCCCTATCCCACCCCTCTAGGTGGTCACAATCCACCGAGCTGATCTCCCTGTGCTATGCAGCTGCTTCCCACTAGCTAACTATTTTACGTTTGGTAGTGTATATATGTCCACGCCACTCTCTCACTTTGTTGCTGCCTTGCGTTTTGTTGATTTTTTTGTAGTGATGTGCTCTAGACCGTTTTCATTTTCCTCTGCATATCTTCTATAGGTATTTCCTTTATGTTTACCATGGGGATTACCAAAAAACATGTTATAATTCTAGTAATCTATTTTAAACTGACAACATCTTAACTTCAATCACATACAAAAACTCTACTCCTTTATATCTCCCCCTCCACCTCTTGTTATTGATATCACAAATTACACTTAAAAATTTTGTATCCACTAACATGTTATTTTTGTGCTTTTACCTTTAAAATTCTATATTAAAAGTGATTTTTACACCACTCTTACAGTATTACAGGATTCTATATTTATATATATATTTACCTTTACCAGAGAACTTTGTATTTTTGTATGGTTCATGCTACTGTCTAGTGTCCTTTCATCTCAACTTGAAGGATATCTTTCAGCAATTTTTGTTAAGGCAGGCTAGTGTGATGAACTCCCTCAGCTTTGTTTACCTGAGTTTTTTATTTCTGCTTCATCCTACTCCCTTCTGGCCCCTGTAATGTTTCATCCTACTCTCTTCTGGCCCCTGTAATGTTTCTGTTGAGAAGTCTCCTGTTAATCTTATGGGGCCCTCTTGTACATGATGAGGTGCTTTTGTCTTGTGGCTTTTTAAATTCTTTGCATCTAGAAAGTTTGATTATAATCGTCTCAGTGTAAGCCTCCTTGTGTTCATCCTTGTTGGAGTCCTTTTAACTTTTTGAAGTTGAATGCCCATTTCCTTCCTCAGGCTGGTAAGTCTTTGGCCATTATGTCTTCAGATAAGCTCTCTGTCCCATTCTGCTACTCTTTTCCTTCTTGGATTCCCATAATGTATATGTTGTTCTGCTTGATAGCATCATATAAATCCCTTAGGCTTTCTTCACTTTTCTTTTTGTTACTCTGACTTGGTAATTTCAAATGATCACTCTTTGAGGTCTCGCTTGTTTCTTCTGCTTGATATAGTCTGCTACCTTCAGTAAATTTCTTTCTTTTTTTTTTTTTTTTGGTACGTGGGCCTCTCACTGTTGTGGCATCTCCCACTGTGGAGCACAGGCTCCAGATGTGCAGGCTCAGCAGCCATGGCTCATGGGCCCAGACGCTCCGTGGCATGTGGGATCTTCCCGGACCGGGGCATGATCCCGTGTCCCCTGCATCGGCAGGTGGACTCTCACCACTGTGCCACCAGGGAAGCCCCCTTCAGTAAATTTTTTAGTTCAGTTATTACACTTTCAGCTCTAGAACCTCTGGTTCTTTCTTAGTTTCCATCTTTGTTGGTATTCCAACCTTGTTCATGTATAATTTCCCTGATTTCTTTAGTTGTCTGTGATCTCTTATGGCACATTAAGCTTCTTTAGAAAGCCATTAAGCTTCTTTAAGAAGATTATTCTGAATTCTCTGTCAGGTAATTCATAGACCTCTGTTTCTTTTAGTTCTGGAATTAATTTTGGCCCTTTGATTGGGCCATGTTTCCTTGTTTCTTCATGTATCTGGTTATCTTTTTGTTGTGTTTTGTGTATTTGAAAATGCACTTAAGGGGAGTTTCTCCCCCATATGAAGCTGTTTCCCTTAAGTGCATTTCAATCAGCCTGACTGGAGATTCCCAGTGGTGTTGTGTGGGGAAGAGTGTCTTCTCAAACCTTTCCTGGGGGATGCACCTTCTCTGGGCTTCTATACGAAATTTCCTAATTATAGAGATTTGTGGGTTTCTTTTTCAGGATTCTTTAGTCTCTTGTTCCCTCTGGTGTTTGTAGTACTGCAGACTTTCCGGCTCTGCAACAGGCTGCTTAGCTCTTTCTTGTCCTCTGTGGCCCTCAGGCATCTAACGTATGATGGTTCCCCATCAGTGCTCTGAGACAGACAAGATAGAAACAAGTCCCTTGGGCAGTACCTCCAAAAGACAGTGTTCCACTCTTCTTTCTCCTTCCCAATGGAAAAACTATGACTTGGGTTTTTTCTCTCCATCAAAAGCAGTGCTGGCTTGTTGAGAGGGGCTAGATGCAGTTGGAATGAAATGGTTTTTCTTACCCATTACAATGTGGCTATTCTGGGCTTTGAGCTTGCCTGGGGTACTACAACTTCCTGATTTCTGGAGTACTCATAAAGGCTTTTTGGACAGTATGTTGTTGTTAAGTTGGTATCTCTGTGAGGCCACGAGGTCTAGGGCTTCCTATTCTGGCATCTTGCTGCCATCACTCCCAGCATATTATTTTTAAAAATTAAAGGCTATTTAACAATGCAGATAAATGCTAACAAAAATAGTAAGTGAAAAAAGCAGAACTTGATTTTATTGATTGTAACTATACGATATATATTTATTATAAACACTAAAAGACATATGAAAAAGGAAATCAGTTATATTAATGTGCTAATACAGGTGATGCTTTTTCCTATAAATCTGTTTAATACTAATATTTAATAGTTAAAAAGATAATAATGCTAATTTTTTCACTATTAAATGTCTATCACAAATGTAAGTTTTAAAATTAATATTACTTACCTAGTATTTAGTTGCTTCTTTATAATTTCTAAATTTACTGGTGGAAATGAAATGGAAGCATCAAACTTCTTCACTGTTTGAGATTCACTGCTATGAGAAAGATCTATGTCTCATCCCTAAAAATAATATGAAAGTTTATATTGTTTTCAACATTCATTAGTCTTACAAATATTAATAGCATGAAAGCAGATTGGATACACCGAGGTCTCACCAGCTCAAAATTCCATGCCTCTGACATTTTTTATGGTTGTAATAAAATGTTTTTAAAATTTGCGCACAGTTTTAAAATTTAGAACTTTAAATTCACATGCAAGAGGCAAATTACAAAATCTTATTTTTCACGAAAGCTTTGTTCTCAGTGTTTATATAGCTAGTTCTGTTTATGATCTAATATACTCTCAAAAAACCACATACTGGAGGCTCCAATAGAATAGAAGGACATGGAAGTCACCTCCACCCACAAATACATGAAAAATACATCTCTGTGGAACAATTCTCACAGAATACCTACTGAACCTGGCAGATCTCAGAACCTAAAAGTGCAAGAAAGATCTCCATGTAATCGGGTAGGATGAAAGAAAAAAAAGAGAAGCGGGATGGGACCTGTGTCCCTGGGAGGGAGTCATGAAAGAGGAAGAGGTTCCCATACCTTGGAAGCCCCCTCAGGTGGGACAGAAAGGGAGCTTCAGAGGTTCAGAGGAGACAGCAGCAGCCAGTTTGCACAGAGAGACCAGAACAGATGGTCTGGGCCACTGCCCTGCACTCCCCAGCCTGAGATGCACATCGGCTGGTGCACACAAGGGCTGGGTGCTGATACTCCAGCTTTAGAGGACAGACCCAGGGGGAGGACTGGGGTTTGCTGTGTGGAGACAGCAGGAAGGGGCTGGAGTGTGGTACAGCGACAACCGGTAGGTATACATGGAAGAAGCCTGGGCCCGCCATAGAAAGGAAGTGTCATTGTTAAGGGGGTGTGAGAAGGGAGGGGCGGTGCCTGTCATTAGCAGCCTCTTTCTCTGCACACTCTCAGCTGGCTTGGCACCACCTCTACAAGCTCTGGGAGCACGCAAGTGCCATGGGGTTGCCCACAAGTGGAGGCAGGACTGAAATCCGAGTTGATTACCAGGGGTCACACAACTTAGGAAGCAGGGCTGAAATCTAAGCCATCTCCCCACGACTGTGTGATCTGCAGATTTATGCCACGGCCACTGGCTTTGTAAAAACTCAGTGACTGCATGATATCTGAATGGACAACGGGTGCTCCTGCAGCTCTGATGGGTCTGGCCTTAGCATCTGTGGGCTCTGTGGGCGCATGCACATGCAGGCTGGGACAGGGTCTGGGTTGCTTCCACAGCTCCCATGGCGGGTCCAGGTGTGCAACTACTGCAGTCGTGGTACCTGACTTCAGTGGATCTGCACTGGTTGATTTGCGCTGGTGGCTTTGTAAACACAGGGCCTGAGGGACACCAGGGACTACTGCCTGCATTCCCAAAGTTGAGGTGGGGCCAAGGGCATGCCACCAACAGTATACTTTGTGAGCTTGCACAATGGGTTTCAGGTGACACCATGGAGCGCACTTCACAGTGGATAGCTCTGGTAGAGGAACACTCAGTGGCTCCTCTCTCAGTGGGAGTGCTCCAATTCCACCTATCTCACACCGCACATCAGAAATAGATCTGAGGGTTTCTACTCCAACAACTAGGGGATAGACGCTGCCACCAACAGGGCTGTGACAACCACAGAGCAAAGAGGAGGCCCCGCTCAACATTCAGTTCAGGCTCGGGTCACCACAACGCCAGCCACACCCCCTTTTAAACATGATAACGGCCAGCACACACTGAGGAAAGAGGCAGCCATACTAAAAACAGCTCTCCCACCAAATATATTAAACCCATGCAGGCTACACATGGATACTCCCACATAAAAATAGCCCTCCAAGACCACAGTAGTTAACTGTTTCTCCTAAACTCACAGAGTAAGAGAAATATAAGTAAAATGAAGAAGAACAAACACTCCCAATTAAAAGATCAAGAGAATTGCCCTGAAAGAACAGTGAAATAGACATCTTCATCTAATAGATACGGATTTATTTCAAAAAGAAGATAGTGAAAATACTGAAGGAATTAAGAAAGGCTATAATTGAAATACATATTACTGTAAAAAGGAACTAGAAACTATATAGAGGAGCCAAGAAAAATTAGAAAACTCAGTTGCCCAGATGAAAGCTGAGCTAAAGGCAATAAATAGCAGACTGAATAATGCAGAATGAATGTGTTCTGAAAGACAAAATAATGTAAATCACCCAATCAGAACAGCAGACAGAAAGCCAATAAAAAAGAAATGAAAAAAATGGAAGCAATATAAAAGATCTATGGGATAATATAAAGCTTGCCAGTGGTTAGAGGTTCCGCTCTGCCAATAATCAGCCTGGCAGTGGTCCTCGCTGAGGAGAGTGCAGTGAGAAGACGATCGCAGCCTTCTCCCTGGGGCTCTCCAGGCCCTCTGGCCTCAGGCTGAAGGGTGAGCTGGGGGCTCAGGGACAGGCTGAGGGCTGTGTCCTGCAGAGCTCCAGAGCCCTCGCCAGGGCCACCCACTGGGGGGGCCCAGGCCTTGAAGCAGCCCTGAACCTCTCCCCCATCCCCACCTCTGGGACTTAATGGCAGTAGCAGTCTCCATGGGTCACAGTCCACGGAGGCCCCAGCAACTGGAGTACATGGACGCTGCCGTTAAGGTAGGATACTTCCGCACTCCCATGAAGCCGGGCACAGCCACATGCCTCCTTGCAGCTAAGGAAGTCTGAGCAGAAGTGACATGTATAGCACCCAGGCCAAAGCACTGAGCTGCAATACTTGACTCAAAGGCTTCTCTTCCCTGCCGCAAGGACCTTGGATGTTCTGACTCCAGTCATGCTTGTGGAAAGTTCTACGCTCTCCTTCCTGCTCCTGCTGCCTCAACAATGTTGCTTCAATTAAAGTTACTGTTCCTTGAAGAGTGGGTTCTGTCTCCTCCAGGCCCAAAAGGGCCAGGGCAGGATACAGGCTCCTCCCCAGCCCACAGCCCCACCCACACTTTGGGCCAAGATGACTTGCGCTACTGTTGCTTTTATGTACCAGGAGTGGTGATTTTTAGTATGGTCTGCTGTTTTCTCAACTTTACAATTTTCAATTAGTTCCAAGGGCTTTTTTTTAATCACTTCACTGGTTCCTGGACTAAAGATTTAGAAGGCAGTTTAGATTTAGTCCAGACATTTATGGTCTTAGGGATAATCGACTCTATAAATTGTGGAATAAACAGCTTATGCTCATAGAACTGTACAACACAAAGAGTGAACTGTAATATAAGCTATAGACTTTGGTTAATAATAATGTCTCAGTATTGGTTCATCAATTGTAACAAATGTACCACACTACTGCAAGATGTTAATAATGGGAGAAACTGGGTGAAGAGGGAGAGGTGGGAATGCTGCATATTATCTGCTTAATTTTTTGTGAACCTAAAACTCTAAGAAAAAAAAGTCTATTAACTAAAAAATAATATGGGCAGGGTGAGTACATGAGGGCATTGATGAAACAAAACTAGCCAACAGTTGGCAATTTTTGAAGCTGAATGATGGTCCACAGAAGGGGATTCATTATATTATTATATGTCCATAATAAGAGTTTTTAAAATCTTAAATATAAAGTGTGCCAATCTATGAATAATAGGAATTTCAGAAGGGGAACAAAGAGACAAGGGGATTGAAAATGTATTTGAAGAAATTATGGCTGAAAACTTCCCAAACCTAAAGAAGCAAACAGATATCTAGGCACAGGAAGCACAGAGGGCCCCAAACAAGATGAACCCAAGCAGACCTACACCAAGACATATTATGATTAAAGTGGCAAAAGTTAAAGATAAAGAGAGGATTCTAAAGGCACCAAGAGAAAAAGGGTTAATTACAAGGGAACCACCATAAGGCTATTACCTGATTTTCCTATAGAAAACATTGCAGGACAGAAGGGAGTGGCAGGATATAGTCAAAGTCCTGAAAGGAAAAAATCTGCAACCTAGCATACTCTACTCAGCAAGAATTTCATTTGGAATAGAAGGAGAGAGACAGAATTTCTCAGAAGAGCAAAAACTAAAAGAATAACAGCAATACTAAACCTATACTAAAAGAAATAATTAAAGGCCTTCTCTAAATAGAAAAGAAGCAATAATCTATATAAAAGAGAAAATCAAAAATGAAAAGTAAATCACTTAAGCCAGTATACAGATTAAAGTAAAAAACAAACATTTCTGTGAAAGGGATGATAAGCAAAATGAACAGAAAAAGGATAAACATGAAGATGTAAAAGAGGGTATCAAAATCATAAAATGCCAGGTAGGAGAGTAAAAAAATGTAGATTTTTAAATTTTAGAATGTGTTTGAGCCTATAGGACTATCAGTCTAAAGCAAGTAGATATAGTAATGGGTTAACATATTTGAAAACCATATGGGTTACCACAAATCAAAAAACATACAACAGATTCACAAAAACCACAAAGAAGAGAACAAGCATAATACAAAAGAAAATCACCAAACCACAAAAGGAAAAACAAAAAGAAAGGAACAAAGAAAAAATACAAAATCAACTGGAAAACAAGGTTAAAAATGGCAATAAATACATATCTATCAATAATTACCTTAAATGTCAATGGACTAAATGCTGCAACCAAAAAATACAGAGTGGCAGATTGGATTAAAAAACAAGAGCCTACCATATGCTGTCTACAAGAGACCCACTTAAGAGTGAAGGACACAGACTGAAAGTGAGGGGATGGAAAAAGATAACTCATGCAAACAGAAATGACAAGAAAGCAGGGGTAGCACTACTCATATCAGACAAAATGGACTTTAAAACAAAGGCCATAAAGAAAAAGAACACTATATAATGATGAAAGGATCAATACAAGAGGAAGATATTACATTCGTCAACATGTATGCACCCAATATAGGAGCACCAAAAGCATAAAACAAATACTAACAGACATAAAGGGAAAAAGGGATGGGAGTACAATAATAGTAGGAGACTTAAACACCCTACTCATATCAATGGACAAATCTTCTAGACAGCAAATCAATAATGCAGCAGAGATC